AGCACCACAAAAGAGAAGTGGAGACAGAAGCTTAAGCCTCCTTAACTACCTCCTGTTTACTCTGGTTTTGGCCAGTAGCATCTCTCTGTTTGGGCTCCCTAATCATCCATGTTGTGAGTAATCTTGAAGCTTTGTGCGTGTTTTGCAAAATAGTCTGGCAAAGAGGCAAAAGGAAATAGAGCAAAGTCATTTTTGTGCCATCTCTAAAAAAAAAAAAAAAAATCTAAAAAAAAAAAAAAAAAAAAAGGAAAGAAAAGCCTACAATGCATACATACAAAGATTCTAATATTTTATTTATTTTATTTTATTTTATTTACAGTAATGTTTTAGAAGAAAATAGATGCCTGGTATAAACAGATTTAAATTTTTTTAAATAATGCCAGCGGCATTATTTGCAACAGTTAAGATGTGACTTTTTCCTCTTGCAAGCTCCCTTTAGCAAGAAATAAGACATTTTGAGTTGGATGTTGTTGAATTTAGTGATGAATTCTGTGAAGTTTAAAATACACTGCTAAAGCAAGTACATGCTTGTATTAACAGTTAGGCCTACTTGGACATTTAGGAGTGTAATTACTCCAACTGGAGACATATTTTCACTACCTCTGCATGTTAAAGACAAAAGAAGTGCATATATTTTTATGAACAGCTGCTTGCACATTTTTGAAAATCTGGAAACTAGAGGTTCTCTGAAACACTCTGAAAATATATTAAAAAAAAGCATGTTGCTAAATCTCTCTTTAAGTTCAGTAAATTTTTTTATCTTATTTTTTTATTTGATAACCATGGAAGATTGGTGGCTGAGTATGAACAGATACACTTTTAAATGGGGGGGGGAGGAATTATAACTGTGACAAAACCAGTTCAATTCAAGTTTATTCTTAGATACTTAAGTCAATACATTAATTCAACCTCAGTACATTAATTTGTGATAGTTAAAAACAGTCAATGTGTTTTGTTTTATTTGTTATTTAGTTGAGCAGATGGTAATGGTTTTGACACAGTTCAGTTTTTTATTTTTCTTCTTTTCTTTTCTTGAAAAAGACAAGGCTCTTTTTCCCACTTTGTCACAGCTGGTTACCAATCAATCTCAATTCACGGTACAGTGATGATAGCACATGTTGTTCAGGGGCCAAATCTGATTGGGTTGCATTTTCAGCAGTGTTTCATATCAAAAAAAATTGTGTCTGTATGGCAGTGACTGTCAGCACACTATTGTACAACTGTCATTAATCAAAACTAGCAACAATGAATGCATTCATATGTGCCAGAGACTGCCAGATTTCACTCAAAATCACCCAATTTCTATTAGAATTTCCTCACCAGCAGTGTTTTCTCATCTGCCTCTTGTTTCTCTCTTTCTTTCTTCCTTGCCAGTCCCCTGCCAGCCCCTTCCTTCTCGGGTAATTAAAGGCAGATCTGCTCTATTACTTGTAGAACAGAAATTATTTAACGTGGTGCCCAAAAGTGGCTGGTTCATATCTGACACAGACTGACTGGCTGTTTAAAAGACCTTTCCCAGCTCAATCTGATGGCTGAAGTCTAAGCTAAACCGAATGGTGAAGCACCTCTGAATGTTTAACAAAGAGAAGTACTTAAAATCAATTAGATGGCCATAAATATGTGAAGCTGATGTCTGACACCCCATGGTTTTAGCTGAATGTTAGCATTAATTGGCTAGGAGTCAGCAATATTTGGGCAATATGTCACAAGTTGTTTCTTGACACTGCACATATTTTGAAGGCATTGCCTTCTGAGTGCACTGGCTACACTGAGGAACAATTTAACCACTGCACTCTGGATTCCTGCCATTCCATGGTCAGTCCAGGAGCCTGGTAACCTCTCTCTGTGATTGGTAGTAGCAAAGGCCCTAATCTTGATTCCCAAGTGTTCAATAGCACTAATCCAGGTGAGAGTGAACTTCCACAAAAACTCAGGTGAAAACGCCTCGCTGTGGGAATACGAGGCTGTGGAACAGAGAGGGGAGGACACACTGTTCGAGGCTGCACAGGTGGATCCTGAACACATCTTCAGTCTTCACTCTTTGTTACTTCATGTGGTCCCTTCTTGCACAAACTTCTTGTGCTGCTGTGGATCAGTCTAAAAGCCAGTTTTCTTCCTTCCTGCTTCATCTGTCAGAGCTCTTCACTGAACCGTGGTGACTTCTGGGGACAGTGCGGGTGGAACAGATGACTGAGGGGCAGCGTATCAATACTTCAGGACAGCAGATGGTTATAATGTCCCATGGGCCCATCTATGTATGAATCTAATTGCTGGATGGCACATTCTGTCAGGATGGTCCAAAAACCCAGTTTGGCCTTGTAGGAGAAGCGGACTGGGAGAGCTGAATCTGTCCTTGAATTAATTGATAACTGGACCGTGAGAGCGACATGTTTTCGCCACCCTCCGTTTCACGGCCCGCGTGGGAGATGATGGCTGCACCCTTGCTCTGCGTCCTGGCATGCCATGCAGCTGGCTCCTTCCCCCAGCAGCCTTTGCACAATTTGCATGATTGGCAGGTGCAGGCATAAAGGCTGCCCGAGCCTCCAAGGCAGCTGGCTGGCATGCCGTCACCGGCACATCGGAGAGAGGAGCGAGTCAGCTGCAGCCCACAGCAGACTGGAGGGCCCTGTCCCAGGCCTCCTGCATCCCAGTTCAAGCAGCCCCTCAGTCAGATGCAGTCCTGCTGCCTCTCTGTTTTTCTCTTGGCAGCACTAAGGGAACCACAGGGATGTTATTTGTCCTATTAAAAAAAAAATAAGCAATGACTAATTGTTGCCCAGCTTTATAACTCTGATTCCTATATCCAATTCATATTTATATTACAACTGATCTTAGTTTTCTCATCTTACACGAGCTGAATACAAATTTATATTTTTAGACTCCTAGGGCTGACCTCATGTCAAGAAAATAAGCATTTTCTCTTGTCTGCAACTCTGCGGTCACCAAGGACAAGTAACTGCTCCATCAGTGTGGGATACTGTTGTCACATCCTTGAGATTTTCAAGGGGGGAAAATTTGCATTTTCTCTCTTATATAAACAGTGATTTCTGTTTGCCATTGACTAATGCAGCACAGCATGCAAAAATGACATAATTTGTGAGCAGTCAAGAAGAAATGTTCCTCAACTGCATGTGGCTGTTGAATGTAGTTGCAATAGATCTGTAGTGCTCCAGAAACGGCATGTTAAGTATTTCTAGCATCATAACTTCCCCCCCACCCAAAGGCATTATACTGACGAAAGACATATCCCTACAAGTTGCTGAAGTTTGCCATGGCATCTCCTTATTCTTCCCCTTGACCCATCTCTTACTCGTTACTTAAACCTGAGGTACTGCATGTACATACAATTAAGTGTAACTCCTAGGAAAATGGGTTTTGTATGTGTTTATGTTAACTCTGACAGAATGGTTAACCTCAATTTGGTCTTTTTAAAATTATTTCTTATTAATTAATAGAATGGACTTACTGAATACAGAATGAAGTTGTATTGTAGTGAGTGTGAAAAGATGTCTTGGCAATAATGTTGTAATTGATATCTAACTAGACCTAACAGAACTCTTAAATGCTTCAACATATAAGACCCTTTGAGTTAAAATGTTTGAAAGTCTGTTAGCATTCAGTGTTCTCTCTAGAAATCTATATTAAAGGAACCAACAGCAATCTATATTATGTACAAAAAAAATTATGTTTTCTGTTCCCAATGCATTTAAAAATGCTTACAGAGCCTGACAACCTTCCTCTAAGTAACTGCATTGCATTCTTATTCATCAAAACTTTTAAGGGTACTCTTCCATATGAACAAGTCTGTAAGTTCTTTACTGTATAGCAAAGAGAAGGTAAATCAGTCCTTCTGAAGTTATGTCATGACTGTGAATGCAGTGAGAAATAGTACTGGCATCTCCTGAAGTCTTGATTTTTCTTTAGTTTCATGCTCCTATTTCACTGTTTAGTAAATGAGAATCTGAAGCCAACTTCAGGTTCAAGATGACTTAATTTATTGTAGGCTTACTATGTGAAGAAGAAATGTTGTTGAAACTAATTTTACAAGAGAGTATTTCAAGATTAAAATACCCATACTGGAATTCAGTGTTTTCCTGATTTGGGGACCACCAAATGCACTTCATAAAAGATGAAGTCTCCCATTGACTTTAATGAGCTTTGGATGAGAGCCTAAAATAGTTTGTTAAGCATGACTTCTGCAGGATAATAACAATTTAACTGAAAATATTTTTCTGGATATAAGCACTTTAAATGCCTCGAGAATGAATGTTCACTGCATGTTGGAATACTTTGTATTAATTCACATTTTATACATCCTCATAGTTTTAGAATTATTTCAGCAAGAGAAACAAAGAAATGTAAAAAGCATAATTGAATTGTTTCTAATGTGTTTTAAGAAAGAGAAAATGTTATTGTCCACCCTTAATGAATCATTTTGGGGTATTTCTGTGAAATTGATAAATCTGCTTTAATGTACCTCTTCAATAAATGTCACATTCCAGAGTTTGAATATATTTTTTATTGTCTGCAATCGGGTAGTGTGAGATCCTACCAACATGCTCATGGTTCCCTAAGGGATTGCTGCTGTAGGGAAAAACTGTACATAAAGGGAAATTTCCAAATCAGCAAAAGGTAAAATGTGTAGCTCACACAGTTTAAAGGCATGATAAACCTGAGCTGTCATGTATTGATAACTGATGTCTGATAGCCTAATTTTATCTTATTGCTCTAGATCAAGGACAAAGTGAATGATATTATTAATAAAGCCCTAATACTGAGTGAACATAGCAATACTAATTTTATGTAAAGTTTCTAACTAATGCAGAGTGCAATAAAAATGTCACGAAGATTAATGCTTGTCGGAATTATCTAATGCCAGATAATAATTTATCTTCCAAAGTTGGCTCCAAGATAGATTCAGAGTGGCGTAATCCAGGTGGTAGTTTCTGTTCCTCTCTGTTGTCCACAAGACGAGTTTTCATCCTTTTCCTGTCCCACAGGTATGACATCAAAGACGACTACACTCTGCGCATCAAGAAAGCCATGAGCACGGACGAGGGAACCTACACTTGCATTGCTGAGAACAGAGTCGGAAAAGTGGAAGCCTCTGCCACCCTCACTGTGCGAGGTGAGTGTGTCCTGTATGGATAAATTGGTTTCTGATGGAATGGGCCACATCCTCCCCTGGCATTGTTTGGGTTTCACGTACCCTTGGGCAGTTGTGGGTGCACGGCAGTGGTTTACATCACTGGTGAAATCCCGGTCCTGGTGATATTTCAGGTAAAATTTTAATTGACTTCAATAGGATAGGATCTCCCTGCAGTTAAAGAACTGTGTTTTTATTGAAGAACAATATATATGCTTAAGCAAGCACTACATAACCGTGGGCATCAGTTTAGGCCATTATTCACGTTTCTTTCTCTTAAGAGGTACAAGGAGTATTGTAACTATATCAATGACAAACATAATGTAGATAATATTATTATGTGATTAGCTCTGCTATAATTAAACTCTCTACCATTACCCTTTATCTGCAAGATAAACCATAGCCAAAGGAAAGAGAAAATCCTAATTAAATTTTGTGAGTATTGCAAGGTAAAGACTAACATATTCTCTCCTAAAATATTTGTGGTCTATAGTACCCAGTCTGTTTATGTGCTGCTGTTTGATTTGGTAAGGAGGCTTTAAGGCTGGTAGAACAATGAGTTGACAAAATATCTTTTGTGACAGTAGATATAGACATGCTAAAGATTAAGGGGAGAGAAAAAGTTTGTAGGCTGATATTTCCATATGAGTAAACAGAATATAATAGTCATTACTACATTCCAAAAGATAAGCAGCAATTTGGCACAATGGATATCATGCAGACACTATTTCACAGTTTAGTGGTGCATGCTGACGGTTTTTGGTAGAGCTGTGAAAGGTTAATAAAAACATTTTTAGCTTTATCTGTCCTCCTCTTTTCATACACATTAAATCAAATGTTCAAAGTCTCAATGGATTGCTTTATTAGAACTAGGGTCAACTGACCCAAGAGGCCAGCTTCCATTTCCATCCATTTAATGCATGGACACAGTTCAGTTTAATTTGCTGAATTCAAAGGGACAAAAAAAAAAAGCACCAAGTGGCTTTGAAGGGGAGAGATCTTAGTATGTAACAAAGAAAAGAGAGCATTGTGATAATCCATCTGCTGAAATACTACCTCAGTGTTCACTTTAGACCATGGTGACAATGCAGCTCTTCCCGTTTTAAGCTGAAGAAATAGGTTTACCTGCTGCATGCTTATGTAAGAGATTGTTCTTCTGTATTGTGACATGAGAAAAACAGTCACCACAGCAAACTCCCAGAAATAGTCTCACCCTGTTCCTTTGTCACAGGCAGGATCACAGTATCCCATAAATCTGGTAACCAATTCAGTAGCCTTTAAACACTCCTGTAACTGTGTCCACTGTGTACATTACTGGAGCAAGCCTTTCAGATTTGCTACCCAGACGTGTGATATAAACAATAGTTAGAACCAAGACAAAAAATCCTTTGAAATCACCCAAGCTTGAACACAATGAAAAGTGAAACAACAGAAAAAAACTCGAGGAAATACATAATTTAATTGATTTTCCCACAAAAAAGCAGATTTTTATTGTCTTGTGTATTTTTCCTCCTGGGTTTGTCATTTATGGTCAAATACATAATGTTTATCCAACTCTAAGGAAGCCATGATATTATAAGCTTACTAAATGTTCAGGATATGACAGAAAATGAGAAAAGTGAAGAAATTCACCAGAGAAGTCTGTTACTCCGAATTTTCTGAAAACAAAGGACTAGGAAAACTCCCATTGACTTTAAGGGGACCATGAGCAATGGTCTTTTTAATTAAAGAAAGTCTTAATTCTGAATTCTTCAACTTTTAACAGTTTTATCTGACACTACTTTTACTGTAACCACTTGTCACGCAGAGGAGCAAAACCACTTAGCATTTCAAAATTTACCTTAAGGGTGCCTTGGTCCTTGCAGGTGCCAAATGGTTGCATATGGCAACCTGACAGCAGTGCAATCCTCAGCTCCCAGCCAGGAAGGCTGAATTACACTGTCACAAACACCAGAATCTGATGTCTGTGACTCAGACTTCAGGCCCTCCCTTGGAAAGATGCAAATCACTTACACCTTGTCTTTCTGCAGAAGAAGGAATATGTTCATAATTCTAAAAGCCAAAAAGTGTTCCAACAGATGATGGGTGAGAAAGGGCAGCAGGCTTGAAACAGTTAAATGAAGTGGGTATCCCAAAGTAGGGATAGAGCCATGGAAAGATTGAGAACTAAGAAGGTCCTTGCATGCTCTGTTACTTCTGAATCTGCATGTCTTATGTTTGACCCTAGCCTGCACATAAGCACACAGACTTGGTAATCTTCTTAAAAAGAGGAAAAAAAAAGAAAAAAATTGTGCTGTTGCTCAGCAATGTGTAACTATTTCTGCTGCTGAAACAAGGGAAGCTTTGCCTACACAGATGCAACCTGGGGTCAATTTTATATACAACTTTTCAGCTCTTCTGAAAGGGATGTCTATATTTTATTAACAGGGGGACTGGCAGCCCTCTTCCCCAGCACAAGTATAATGAAGGGCTGTCGCTATAATCAAGAAATCACTTGTTGCAGCAGCAATTTTCAATCTTGATATCAACCTGAAACAGTATTAACCTGTCGATCATTCAGCAGCAATTTTTTTAGGAAATAGAAGTTACCTAAGGAGTGATTTGGGAGGTTCTGGGTTGAAGTCCCTGTGGCCATTTCAGCCTATTTGTTATATTTTCATCAGCAGTGTCAGTGAGGAAAAAAAGAACCTGTGCTGTAAGCTTTCATGTCCTTATTGAATGAGAAAAATTGTCCTGGGCTTTCTGTAGTCCTTACTGCTGTACAGACTGGTCATGCTTAAAATTCAATTGGTGTTTGACTCAGAAAGCAAAGGCCTTGCATCTACTGGCATGACATTCGGCAGTGTGCGGCTTAAATTGATGTGTTCATCGGGATCTAAAAGTTTGTGCTAATGCAATGCAATTTTTCTTTTATCAGGCATTAACAATGATACTTGATGATGGCATGCGAAGATAATAAAAATGTTTCTCAGAGAATGGTTCCAGTCAGCTTGTTCAGATGCTATGCTCAAGTAAATGGGATAATAGTGGCACGTGACTGAGCGATAACAACAGTAAACATTTTACTCAGGCTGTCATTTGAGGGGTTAGCAATCATGGTAGTATCCATAGTGGAAGGTAACATTACACGTCATGCATTCTGACAGATATTCTTTTCTTTTTTTAATTTCTTTTTTATGTTCTCACTACACCATTGTAATGTCAACAGCTCGCCCCGTTGGTAAGTAACCATCCTTCTATCCATTTTAGCATGGCTTCATGCAATGCTTCATCTTTCATTTGCAGCAGCATTTAACTGGCTGAAACGAGCAGCCAGCGCTTAATAGTCGTTACTGTCTAACACCAGGCAAGTGATTTTGACTGACAAAGTGCTGTTTCTGAACTTTGTATTTTCTGCTGTGTCGTGTATAAACTCATTTTGCCAAATCACCAGCAAGTGCCAATCAGAGAAACGGGGGTGGGTGTGGTGATACTGAGCAAAAATCACTCATTTAGATGTTTTTAATGGTCGGTTTATGGGCCTGGTATAAAAGCCATTGAAATCAAGAGAAAGGATTGTATTGACTTTGCTGAGCTCCTACCAGGCCCTAAACGATCAGCTCATCCTGCTTTTATTGCACAGCAGTAATAGCACAGGCTTTGCATGTCCTGTCTTCCTTGTGTCTTTCAAAGAGCTCTGAAATGAAGTGGTCCTGAAATCAGAGAGGGGATGGAGTAGATTTTCGTGCTTCTTAAAAAAGTTCATCACTGATTTTTGCCTTTGGGTCATCTTGGAGTGCAGTTTGAAATGCACTGTATAGGATGCAGACTGTTTTGAAAAACAAGTCTTGAGGAAGACAACCTCTGAAGTTTTTTATTCCCACACTGAAAATTTTCCTATGCCTTTGAAATTCTGAAAATGTACAAAAAACACAGCTAAGCATAATGGAAATTTTGCAACTGTCAATAGCTGAAATTCACTTTTGGTGTTCAGAAATATCCTGAACATACTATTTAATTTTCTTTCATGGACGGTTACTCTGTGCCTATATGGATTTAGTTTAATGAGTTGCACTGCTCCTCTGATTTTTGTAGCTTGTGTTTAGATGTGTCTTTTCAAATAATATGGTTACTCCAATTTTTTTGAATTAGTGTAAAAAGTTAGTACTGCTGTTTATGGAGATTGCTGAGTGGGTTGGTCTTTATTTATTTAGTCAAAACTTTTGCTAGATATGTGTTTGACCTAAGTCTGTGAGTTTGAAGTCATCTCAGCTCTTCACTGTTCCGAGTTTGGAGGAAGAAAGGTTAGAATAATTAAAAGATAAAATCCAGGTTAGGCCTGTTTTTCCAGAACCAAGGTGATCCCATCTTATTAGCTTCCTTGAACTAGCAAATATAGAGCCAAGCCAAATACCTCCACAGCCATGGCATGGCTTATCCAAGCCTGGAGAATTCCCTGTACAGAATAGAAATTCACTCTTTTCCATTCGAGGTTTTGATAGCAAGCTTTAAATCCAAATCACTACTGTATTACTTTGGCATTATGCTGGTTCTTAAGAAATTAATTCCCAAGAGTTGTGATAGTGTAAAAATGGAGTAAACTTGCAAGAAATTTTTCCATTTCTTAGAAAGTGCAGCATGAATTTAGTGTGCTTTTAAGATAAATCTTTCATGTCAGGGGATGCTGCTTCTTCATGTACTAAGAAATGCTAAGGATTAAAACTATTTTACTTCTAGGTATTTTTCTCACTTTGCTGACTTTTAAAAAAAAGGGAAGAAAAAAAATCACAAAGTAGAGACCATTTCAGGCTGTGTGAAAGCCATATTAAACAGATGACTGGAGATTCACAAGAAAATGATGGGTTTCAGCAGTGTTGATGGTGTCTCATTTCAGAGCACTGATTCTTTTTTAAGGCTTTTCAGACCATTGAGTCATCCCTGATTCCATCTCCAAAGCTTATTCAGCAGCTCTTGGTCTCCATTTACTTTATGTCCAGGTATATGATCCCTTTGTGTGATCATGCTGAGCTCAATTTCACATATTCCCTGCCTAGGCTATTTTATTTTGTTGCAAGAGAACATTCTTCTTTTACATCATTTATTCAGGAAACTAAAATTAGAGTGGTTGATCTGAAAATAATTATCGCATGGGCACATGGTCTTTATCAAATTATTTAATTTCCAAATTATCTTTGTGACTTGTGAAAAGATTGTTGAGTAACTAAGTCCAACCCCAAAGATATTTGACATATATGACTCCCATACAAGTGTGTATGTCGTCATTACTGTGTAGAAGCAGATCATTGTATGTCAATCACTTTTATGAGATCCTGTACCTCCAGACAATGATAGTGTCTACCTTTATTGACATTTGTGCTTGAGTACCTGAAATCAAGCTGATTTCTACAGTTCATAGCTCTGTTCCACTCTAGAACAGGCAAAGCATGCAACTACCTAACCTGATTTTTTTTCAAATTTAAAGCCTGGTAAGGCAAACCAAAGTGGCTTCCCTCTCCACCAAGAAACCCAAGTGATCCTCTGTTAAAACTGTCATTTGACAAGAATGGTGAGTCGAATAGCATTTGTAGCATTGTTTTATTCAGGAAGTTAACTGGAAGGCAGAGCAAAAATACCTCTCCTTGCCAAAAGGAAGCTAAAGCAAACACTACTTAATGTTATTAAGCTCACAGCTCTCTAGGAGATTGACATTTTAACAGAAGTATATTTATATATTTATGTATATGTTAAAGTGTAGGGGAGCCATTTAAAAGTTTATATTCTTTTGTGACACCAGAGAATTATCTAGGTACTTCTACCTTTCATCACTGTCTCTAATTCAAAGCAGACATGTTTTGTCTTTATTGTGATTTAAACAAGACCAAGCAATTCTTTTTTTTCCAATGTCTTGTCACCAAAGAATAGACAAATACATTTTTAATGTTCCAGGATTGTAATCCTTGTTGCGAATGGAATAATTTTTGTTTTCTGGTGAGTTTTTGTCTGTTTCAAATATTTCTATTTTGATATTTTTATTTAAATTTCAACTTGAGTGAAAATTCAAGAGTGGGGCTGCCAGTGACCATCTTTGGTTCAAGCAGCTATTAACAAATGGTATATACTACATAGATAAAATGAGGTATGGTTCTGCTCGAGGTGGATGGCAGCTGGTGAATTTAACAGCTCTATGCCAGATTATTCATCATGGTTGAATTCGCTGCTAGGAATAAATGCGTTGCCCGTTTCTAAAATAGATGTTCTCTTATTTATAACCTTTTGAAAAGATTTCCGACAGGATTCGCAACAGATGGGTTTAGGAAACAAGATATTATCTCTATTTAGACCTTTTTCTGGAGTTACTTCACTCATTAGATGGATTTTTCCAGATGAATTTTCTCACTTTTGCATTCTGCTGTATTTCTTATGGCAGCTGGGCAGGAGAGTAACTGCTAAAAGAAGAACAATAGTTGGGAAGAGCCCAAAAGTTTCATATATTCCCATTGACAATGACACTATTTTAGAAGCAGTTACACACTGCTTTGAGACAGAAGACCTTCAAATAGAAGATCTATGAAGATCTGTCTGATGTCCCAGTTACTTTTTTAATAATCATTCAAAAAATCATTCAGATGACAGAGTGCTGCTCAGTTTGCAAATTGATTTCAACTAAGTCCGAGTGAAAAGTCAGTTCTTTGCATTTCAGTTGCTTTACAGTAAGTCAAGTTTACTCAGTTTGTTGTCATATGCTATAACTCATCTTCCCAGAAAGAAGTGACTTGCAGCAAAAAGCGGGACAGTTTTGCCACCTGGATAAAAATCAAGTATTTGGAATTAACTAAGGAAGTAAAGGGAGACCAAGTTACAAAATCTTAACTTCCCTACCATGTTGGAGAAGAGACAAACAGATAAGACACCTGCTAGGAATTTTCCAAATTTCTCATTAATTAAATATAACCTATTCATATTTAAGTGCAATGTGACTCTGATGCATTTCATTCCGAACTGGGAAGTTTTCCCAACATAAATCAGCCTGGCATGACTTAGTGGTCTATTAGGGATGGTAGAACATGAAACATAATAGAAAGGGCTGTATATTATACAAGGTTGTATTAGGTGTTGTGGCTAGAAATTACATTGCTCAGACGGTTCAGATTGGTTAAGCGAGAGAGAATTCTCTTTGCTCTCCTTCATCCCAACTCTTTCAGGGAAAATCTATATAGGATGAATGTTCTTTATTTTTATTACGTTCATGAACATATCACCTTCACTTGAGACACTGAGGATATATAAAATATCAGTTATGTCGATTGGTGTGTGACAGAAGAGATGAGATCATGCTTGGCACTACGGTGCCATCTTTCAGTGGCACAAATCTCCAGTCTATATCAAAACGTGCTGTGTTGCCTCTCAGCTGCCACATACAGAAATTTTCAGAAGAGGGTAAGGACACCAAGGGACACTAAGCTTTTTGGATCTGTTTCTTCCTTAAATGAAGGAATAAGACATCATAATTGTTTAAAAAATAGGCAAATTCTTCAGATTAAAGAAAAAAGGTTGCCATAAATTGGAATTCAGATTTCTTCGTATACCGGTAAGAGATTAAAATATGGAGCTAACTTGTTCTGGTATTTCATAGGCTTTTAAAGAGCAATCTAAAAATCTTGAAGTCCTTAGCATGTCTACTTTGACAAAAGTTTACTAGCTGAACTTAAGTTGAATCATAAATTTCGGATGTCATAGAAATAGACTTTGCAATGTGTGGGCCAGAATGGCTCTGCAAGTGGACACTGAGCACATTAACCACCAAGCATTTAAGTGTTGGTCCACAAAACTCAGCTTCATTTCCAGCTCCTCCAAATCTTCTTGGGTTTGCCAGATAGAGGTCAAAACAGAAAAACAGAAGATTTGATGGAGGATTCTTCTTCGAAGATAAGCATGAAAAATGACAGTGTATGTTCTTGAATTATTAGCATGTCATACTGTGGCATCCTGCTCATTCCACTGTGGCTCCAGGTGCCAGTTCTCATGCTGTTTCTCTTAGAGAAAACCCACTTACAGCAAATGCAGGAAATAAGTGATCAAGCACCCTATTTTTATTTATTTTCTTTTTTTTTTAATTGCTGAACTCTAGCTCGGGAAAATTTTAAGAAGTTTAATGCATACATTTTTTTAATTTTGCCAAAACATGCTCAAATCATGGGAATTATTTTCTTACTTCAGTGACTTCTGAGTATCTCCCTAAGT